AGTAGCACTTGTTGTTTGTCGTTTCTCCTATCACAAATGCAGACATGGTTTTATGTTTATGCGGCGCAATATGCAATGCTTAAAAACACAGTATAAGTCATTATAATCAGTAATTATGTCCCCACTGGATGCAACAAAGGCCTCATTTGTAATGGGTTTTATTGGTTTTGTCTCGCCGTGCCGGGAGATGGCATCACAGTGTGTTAAGGGGCGTAACATTTCCATCACATGCTTGAGGTATTCAGCCAATCACAACGCACTGGATAGCTGGCCAATCAGCATGCACCTCGCTTTTCAGACAGATGAGCTTTGTAAAAATCGACGTGTTTCAGAAAGGCGGGGCATAGAGGAGCAACAATAATGTACATTAGGTGTAAAATATGTTTTTGTTTAAAATAAGGTGTTATTTTAAACTTAAACCGCATAAACCCATTTCATTACACCAAATACACAAAATAATGTTCTTTTTAGCAACATCATATGGCCCCTTTAAAAACTTTTTTTAAAACCTTTGTCGTCTCATGTTCCTTCACCCACACTCTGATCTCGAAGGGAAGAACCCGGAGTAACTGTTCCAGGACTATTATCTCATCGACCTCCTTTCGTAATAGCTCCTGTAGACAACGCTGTCTCTCACTGCTCTCTCTGCTTTTGTGCACTCAGGGAATCACGCATAGCAGCATACATCCCACCTCCAGATGTTGCAGCAGGAGAGAGGGTTTTGACTTGAGGTGACATGGACTTGGGATGAACGGATGGGAGATCCTCCTGTCTCTCCTCCTCTGTAGAGTCAACAGTGTCCCAGGCCATATCCTTGTCAGCCACAGCTTTGGTCTGGGAGCGAAGCCCCACCCTAGGCTTCCTGCCTCTCATCACAGACTTGCAAGTAGCCATCCCACTTTTGACACCAAATGTGAGACAGTGGGGCTTTGCAGACCTGATATCAGGTGAAAATGAGTTCACACCCACAAAAAAAATCCCCCAAAAATGATGCCAATACTCGCAGAGGTCTTATAATGTAAAGTGATGGTTTATCTACAGTGCTTGAGAGGTGAAACAGTCCCAGTAGGAAAACGACCAAAGCTAAATGCAAAGTAACAAAAAAACATTGTGCAAAAGATCAAACAAACAGAGATAAATATTCTTCTTTGGTTAAAACCATTACAAACAGAAATAAGGTAAGTATTTAGGTAAGTATTTACATATTCACAATAGCACATACATTTATATACACATATGAACTAACAAAATATTTGCAGAAACAAAATTCAGTCAAGATAACAAATACAAATATAGACACAAATAATAATAAATATAACAACAACGCCACATTTCCATAACTCCCCTTATTAACACAAACAATGGACGAGCCAGCTTCAGGTTGCTTTGCACCGACACACAGCAACACTAGCATTATTTATCCAGGCTGCTGGCTGGCGATCGATTTTGGCCAGCCAATGGCGGAAACGCGGCACAAAAGAACAGCAACACAGATCCTGTCAAGCACCAAACACAGGTAAGTATTATGATAACAAAACAAAACAAAAATCGAAAGGAAACAGCAGAGGAGGAAAAGGTAAAATATGGTGTGTGTGTGTGTGTGTGTGTGTGTGTTTAAGTTCTGCACTAACTGACAGGTGCAGGTTACTTTGTTACAACAACTATCAGTAATAATGCCAGGTATGGATTGTTAATCTCTGGGAACTGCACTGCTGGAAGCAGATCACACTTAAACTCTCATTCACACATGTATGCTGCTCCAAAAGCACTGAGTACTAGTGTTTTGGAGGCTCCCTGGATTTGATGGAGAAGTCACAAATTTCCTCTTAACTAATCCTTGAAGTACGACACTTTCTCAAAAAGGTGTTGAGTTGTTTCTTCTGAAGACGTCGACAGTGTTCAATTTTCAAACAGAAATTTAGAGTTTTACTTTAAATTCTGGTCATTGCAGCTTATTGTTGCCCATTTGGACAGGAAAAGACCATCTGACTTGCATGTATAAAACTTTCAGATGCTCAGTGCCATGAACACCGCAAATGTTGGCAAATCCAGTGACTGGTTCTTCCTTGGAAGTGCTTATTGTAGCAGTTTGAGAACTAATAAACATAACTTTTGTTTCCTGGCAGACTGATATAAAGCTGTGCGTCCTCACACCCGGAAGTTGTGTAAAGCCAGCCAGTCTGATTGCTGTTTTAAAAGAGCTCTTGCTACTTTTGATTGCAGTATGCTGCTGATGATTTGTGGGTAGCCTCTGGGCATGTCATCTGAAGCTGAGACTAGAGCTCTGCTAACAGATACCAGGGTTGGTTATTTAAATGATAAATACTTGGGACTTAAGGGGTGTTCACACTGACTGCCATTAAATTACGAGAGGTCGCCAGGTCACTGTAGTGTTGATTTCTAATATGTGTTCCTAACTGACTGCTGTATCCAACTATATCAGGCAGTGGATCATGTGAGCTTCACTATTTCCACTCCCATTGGTCATTTATATGAAATTGCTAATTTTCACCGAAAATAAATTTGGTTGCTCTGTGATTTTGTGATCAATTGCTCAGTCTTGTGTTCTTACATATTACTGTATCTCTTCTGAAGTGATTCAATAGCTTTGTGTGAGGGGAAAATGCTGATTTTTAAAAATGTATGTTTTCTATGAAATCTCTGTTTGTAATTGCAGGGGGGAAATTACCAGCACATCTTTTTGAATTTTCTGTTTTTGTGTTCCACAGAAGAAAGATAGAAATTCATAAGGGTTTGGAACAACATGGTGGAGTGTGAATGAAATAATTTTTATTTTAGAGGGAACAATTCCTTTAAAACCCTTTACCCTCAAATGTGGCCTCCAGTAGAAGGCCAGCTGTAAATATGAGTACAGTCTACTCGTTTTACTTTTTTGATTATTATAGTCACTACGTTTTCATGCACCCAAATAATCCATTAGCATTCAGCATGATGCTTTAATCGGACCAAGAAGCCTTCATGCAAATACTTCAGTCAATCTGATCGAAATCGATCCAAAGGTAATTTCGATCAGATTGGAAGGGGTCGTGTTGTTGACCTGAAATAATCCGATCAATCAGATATCACTGTTGGATTCAAAAATACTTTGTGCACATGTGCAGTGCTGTAATATGTATGTTTATGAACTGGTCAGTGAATGAGACTTAATATGTACTAAACATTTGCAAAAAAATGTGTTCGGATTAAATGTCGGCTTTCTTCTTGGGTATGTAAACAAGGCAAACATGACAATTATACTCACGGTAGCTCCGATGACATGCATACACAGTGCACCGTGGCAACCGGGCACTATGCACGTGCTGAAGTTTTGTTTGGAATACATATAATGCACATGTAAATGAATATGTGAATTGGATTGCAATGTTTAGGGTTCATATAAACGAAACTTTAAGAATCTGAAATCAGATTGGATTCATTCAGGTTTATTGCATGTCAACATGAGGTGCATGAGGTGAATGTTGAGAGCAGACATGTCCACAAGTCTTTCATCTGAAGTCTGAGTCAAGTCTCAAGTCTTTAAGCTGGAGTCGGATTTCAAGTCTCGAGTAGGGCTGGGTATCGTTCAAAAATGTTCGATATCGATACCGATACCTTGACTTCGATACCGGTTCCTGAACGATACTTTTTTCCAATACCAATTTTATGAAATCAATTTTAACAAGATTACATTATCTAAAAAAAAAAAAAAAAAAGGTTTTATTTTTCAGCTTGTTGATGTTTATACAAACTCAAAGACTCATCTCCTGAGCCACTGCACAAAGGAACAAAATGTAACCAACACAATAAATCAGTGCAAATAGTTTAATAAAGCTCAAATAGTCTTCAGTTTACACATCTGTTAGGCTACATTTACACTAGTGCGTGTTCGTTTTTAAAACACATAGCTCAGACAGAATCATGACTCTCCATTGGAAATGAATGACTGAATGACCGGTCTGTCGCTTGTCGTTTATCGGAGATAGTGGAAAGCCGGCTTGAAACACAGTGGAAATGCCAGTATGACGAGGATCGTTTTCATTTTAAAACATAAATGCACCAGTGTAAATGTAGCCTTACATCTAAGGGGGCTGGGACGCATTCGCACTACAGCCTCACGTATGCGCGACATCTCTGAGTGTAACCGGTGTAAACTAGTAGGTGTGTTCGACTTGACGCGTACTGACTGTGCAGACCGATCGGTGTATTACAGTACCATGAGAACTAAAGAGAGCAGACTGCTCTGTGCGCTTTCGAATCGCTCTCACGGATGTCACAACACTGGTCGATCTGCGCCGCACCTCTTCTAGTCTAACACATCGGCTAGTGCTGCAGGCTTATTGGCTCACTGATGCTGATGAGATTAACCCCTTAGGTATCGAAATTTGGTATCGAACGACGAGACGTTTTTCAATACTCGATGGTATCGAGGCATTTCGGTCGGTGCCTAAAAAGTATCTAACTCTATACCCAGCCCTAGTCTCAAGTCTTTAAGCTGAAGTCAGAGTCAAGTCTGGAGTCATTTCATCAATTGTTGCAAATAAATTCTTATCCTTAAAAATCCTATTTACCAGGTTGTATTTTAAGGACAAATATATTCCAGAGATAATACTAGGATTCTAATGTAGCTCAACTTACCTTCCTCTACCTGTATACATAGTCTATCCAAGATACAAGAATACATAAATACATGTAAAATTATTAATTTGAGGAGGCCTGTTTATATTTAAAATAATCTGTAACACTAATTAATCTAATTCTTGATCTAATTAATCACAAATTAATCACACATCAATTTTAAACACTGTGTTAGATAAGTAAAGCAGTGAATAGACACTACAAAAAGTAGCTTTAGAAAGACATATTTTGAGTCAACATAGCATAAATGATGATAATAGATGGGCATTAATGTTTTAAAAAAAAAAAGAATATTGAAATAAGATTTTTTTTTTAATTAAATGATACTCAAAATGTGAAACTAAAACCTCTAGTAGGTGGCGGCAAGTCACCATCTTGATTGAGTGAGTCATTCAGTCATTGATTTAACCGACTCCTTCAAATGGATGATTAATTCGGAAACGAAGCAAGTAACTGTCTTTATGTATCAATATGACATATGTCATTGACCCGATTAGTTCAAAAACGTATCGTAGATTCATTCAGGAATTAAACACTGCTGTGTTTCTAAGAGACGCATAACAGTTCTGCTGTGACTTGGTTTGAGCTATTTTCATTTGCGAAATTAAGCAAAACAGGCAATACAATAGGTATTGTGTCTAAAATTTCACATAATATTAACTTCTTGTTTATTGAACTATTGTATAAAATCAATATCACATTTACAATAGTGCAGATATTCGGGGAAAAACGGCACTCTTGTGTGATATTGCTAAACTACATTATATATTCTATCATATATAAACCCATTATTTTTTCCATAATTAATCGCACCAAATAAAATGTTAAATAGTAATTAGACATAATTACTTTTATTAGGTGTTGGATCTGAATAAATGTTTAGAGATTATTCAAATATTTATTTGAAGCTTTTCAAAGCTTTTTCAGTTTTTGCATTATGATTAGTCAAACCTGAACACACACACACACACATACACATATACATCAAGAGAGAGAAAAGCCATATCTGCGTATATTATGAAAAGATTCATGAAACATCGTGCTAGGTTTAAGGCTAGATTTTTCGTTCATGTTTTTAACAGGACACACCACAGCATATGTGATTTAATGTTACCAACCTTTGTGGATGTGTTCTAAGATTTGATACATTCTAAAATGAGATGCTGTTGTTCTGGTATATCTTTAATTGTTTTCCCACATTCTTTGCATCTAGCCGATCTTCTTGAAGTTCCTGATTCTGACACACTAATATAACCAAATGTGAGAACATATACACAGTGGCTTCCGCCGTGTTTCATACCCTTCTGACAATACACGGACATACGTCATCAAATACCATGATAAGAGTCCCATCTACATCAACAAGGAAATACGTGATGCAGATATAATAAAAGCATTCCAAGTTCTTTCTTTATGATATCAGTAGTTAAGGATAAAAGACTCGAGTTGTGTTTAAAATATTCATGAGTCCTTGTTGAGTTGAGGCAAGTCTGAAGTCATTTCAGGTCGAGTCTGGAGTTAAGTCTGAAGTCTATTAAAATGTGATTTGAGTGCAACTTGAGTCTGAGTCATTAACTCGAGTGCCCATCTCCGGTTGAGAGGGACATTTTTGACCTGTTGTAGGAATGTGGTGAATCTGGTCTCTGCTCAGGTAAACAGAGGTGGCATACTGCCAACTACATGAGAGAAATTGTGACTGTGAGTCTGATGTGGCAAATACAACATATATTGCCAGTGATGGCTGGAGTTTCCTCTAGTAGGCTATGATATACAAGCATAACACTATTAAACCCTGTATGAAGAGATGCATCAAAATGAATTTTTCACCGAAGCACTGAAACCGAAATAAAGTTTTCATTTAGCTGAAAACTGAAACCGAAAATAACTTATTTAAAATCAGTCAATTCATTACATTTATTTAAACAACAATGCTTGAATAAAAAAATAGTTTAAAAAGTTTTATGCAAACATTTAAATTGCACAAAGTTTTTAAATTGTTTTCCTGACAGTTTCTTTAGTATTCTAACATTAAATAATGAAGACATCACTAACATTTTAAGTAAAAATATAATGAATATGTAATATAGTGCATATATTTCTCCTCTCCAGAATTAGATTTTTTTTCTAGGTAATTAGGTAATTAGGTAATTAACAAGCTATGTATATTTGAATAGGTTGAGGTACATTGAATTCCTGAGGTAAATATAGCATGATATTGTTTAAAAGGTTTTTTTTTTTTTTATGTCTTTCCGCTATTGAATCACAACGGTTTAGAGATTACATGAGACATAATACATTTCAGTAAGCTGTAATGTACAAATCTATTCAAAAAGTCAAAAATGTCAGGGTGAAAAGCTCTGATATCATAAATCATTCTTTATGCATCAATCAATCATAGAGAAACTCTGCAGGCCATCATAACTATGTAAGATCAGTCTCCTAAAATGTTGTGGTTATTCTTTTTCTTCTTCTTTTTATTATTTACTTTTATTTTTTTTTAACCTTCAGGTTGTAAAATGTGTCACAGCCCCCAAAACGTAATGATATTCATTAATAATAAATTATATTTGTAAATACATAATTTACATATTATTAAGATGTGTACATACATGTATTCCTTTCTCTCTCACAGATGAATGCACACACATACCGGTAGAGTGAGGTCAGTAGTACATCCAGCTGTGGCAGCTCTAGTTACTGTAAAGAACCGCCCATATCTACATGTTTTTAAACTTTTTATATTCAGAGCATCTTATGGTTGACTTTGTGTCCTCTATTTTTCCTTGTTCCTTTTTTCCATTTTGTGGGCTAAAGGGCCCCCATTGTTTGTAACAGCTTCTAATGGTGTTATAAGGGCAGGAAGCACATGTGTGCTGTGTTTATATGAATTTGGCAGGTAGTGTCAGGCTGATCTGCTCAGACAGCTTTGTGTTAAGGAAATAAATAAATAAAAAAGTTTTTGACCTTTTCATACACTGCATGCATTAGCGTATCTGATGCTATTTTGCCTTTACACATGTTGCCTAGCAACTATTTTACTCTTTAATGAATCATTCATGCGTGAACATGACTTCCTCTTGATGGTGATGCAAACTCTAATAGTGTGATGAATGGAAAAACATGGTGTTTAATAGTTTAATGTTGATATTAGACATAAGCTTATGCGCATTTGATTCATCTGTGGTGGAAAGGACTGTGATTGGACTCTAGGTTAATTCCCAGCTGAAGCAGATCTGTTTGGATTCACCAGGACTGGACAGTTATGAAAACAGCTGTGCTTAAACCTCAAACCACTGTGACACACTCTTTCTCAGTTTATCGAATAGCATCGCTTCCACAAAGGTTAATTGTGGCTTTGTGGTACATGGAAAAATATAATTTGCTGAGATTGTCATGATAACAAAAGTTATGTTTCCGATATGTTTCCCAGCTGTTAATCGAAGACATATTATGTTTAAGCAACTCATAACAACTAACTCTAAGAGGAAGTCACACCTACTAACTTGTTGCTGAAATTATGCCTTCTTGTTGCCACTATAGTAAGCGTGCCAGTTCTGGTTTTGGATATGGAAACGTTCAGTGTTTTCATCAAAGGAAAGGTGATTCTGGGCTAGAAAAACAGGAACTTCTGCAACATTGTGAAGTGAAGCAGATTAATGCACCACGTGACCATCCATGTTTCATGTCAAAGATATTAAAAGTATTAGATGATCAGAAACTTGGACTGCCTAGTCATGACAAAGTACAAGGAGGAAGCACCGAAATACTAAGAGTGAAATATTGTAGCATTTGTCAAAACTATTGTGTGTAGCACCTACGCTCTCCTTCAGAATAATCCCAGTGTTACAGACAGGCAACTGAAGTTTATTTTTTATCAAGGTCTATATTAATTTCAGTCTAATCTTAACAGTTTGTTTGTTCTATTTCAGTGCAGGTTGTTCTGTGAATTTATCATAATGTAATGTAGGTTTTCAAAAAAAGGCTGTTATTGAAGAATGGTGCAGTAAGAAACTATATTTGGCACAACAGCCAAGTGTGTGAGTGGATCCAGAGACACTGCATGCAGAGAGGGTGTTTCTCAGAAACATGGCAGCAAAACTGTAAGGGTCAGAATAGGATCTTACTACATGGTACCAAGTAGGTGACATTGAGAGGATCTGGTCCATAGACACTCTGAAGGAATTGGAAGACATCAGACAGTACTGAAGATTGTCTGTGAAAGAGATAAGTAATTCATGTTCCTGTATACTGTCAACAGTGCAGACTGAAATATGACTCAGGGGCTCAGGAGACTTAATTTTGTCTTCAGTTCTGGCCATGTGCTCAGCCATGAGTGGATAACAATGTCTCACATGTTTTATCAGGTCATTGTTATGGAGCACTGAATATCCTTGTTTGGAAAGTTAGGGGAAGGAAATGCATGCATACCTTTAGTTGTTTTGTTACTTCTCCTATATATTTTTATTTTTTTGTTACTCGTTTCCAATGTGCAGTTAAAATGAGAAGCAATTTTAAATCATGAAATAAAACGAGCCTTATAATTTCTGTGATGTGGAAAATGTGAACCGAATCATGGAATTCAGTTATGGATGGAAATTACACGGAATGTCAGGGAATTTGGCAAAATGTGGATGAATAAATCAAAAGTAGGACTTTATACCTAATCGAATCTGATGTGGACTAGTGTCTGTGAATATTAAACCACAAAAAGAATGCTTTTAAATATGAAGTCTGAAGTTTTCCAGCATCTGTCATCTCACTATATGAGGACAAAGAGTTCACTTCACACGCATTTCAAAGTAATAGTAACAATAATGATATTAAATTTTTTTTAAACATTATTTTTAAGGAGTTACAAAAAAAATTTCACCCGTGTTTTAATTTCAATTGTAAGTCACTGTAATCTCTTCTAATTTCTTAAATTGTTAAAGTTTATGCATTCATTTGATAACCACCATTTTTGATAATTTAAAAATGTATATTGAATCATAAAACAGAGAATCCCCCCAAAAATTTAAATTTAAACAGACACCACAGAATTTCATTCATTCATAAATAAATAAATAAATGGGTAATTTATTTCATAGGGCAATATTATTGTTAAAATTATAATTATAAAGTTTTATGAATTCAATTGCTTAGACAACCTTTTTGGCTATTAAAATGTTATTAAACAATTAAAACCAAAATAAAACTGAATTTGGTAGGGTAAAAAATATTTCATAGGGCCCTAGAAACCAAAGACAAAAAAATTGCATGTGGTGTCCTTTTCCCCACCAAATATATGGAATATGGGAGTTTAAAAAAGTTTCAGAATACAAAAGCATTTATTATTTTTTTTCTTTCCAGGCATGGTTCATCACTGACAAACAGACATTTTTATAAAATAATTTTTTTTATCTATTACATAGACAGATAGCCTGTGGCACAAATATAAATTGTAGTGGTTGGTAAAACACCTCTGGCAACATATCGGGGCACCGATTTTGAGGCAACAGTTCAAATTGGAAGAGCAACGAATGTGTGGCTTGTGAAGGTATAGCTGGAATACGTCTTTTTAGGATGATGGCTGAACTGCAGATATGCAGAACAAATTAAAAAGCTCCACTTTAAGCAAAATTAGCAGCTTCATAATAAACTGAAGGTTTATGGGTTAGATGGTTGTTGAGTGCACTGGGCCTCACTAGAGCAGTATGTTTGCCCTAATGTCTAGAGGCTTTTTTTAACTGTGGTATGCGTGTTTTGTAAAGCAGGTATGTCGTGATCCCAGTCCTGTGGCGTGGCTGTTGGTTTTTCCAGGTCCCAAATTACCATAATTTCCTGCAGCCATCCAGTGTCATGAAGCAGTTCAGTGCAGGACGGCAGAGACACTCAGAGGTGTAACTGTAAACACATGCGTCCCAGTGCAGCCCGGCCCTCTCATATGAGTATACCTTCTTAGAGGAAAATTTTATTGCTCAGACGTTGCTCTCTCTTTCATAACTCAGGAGACTAAATGGAGTTTTGTGTCTTGTGTATCCAAGACAATGTTCAAAGGCCCCTCGTGTGTGTGTGTTTTTAAACAGATTTCAGATGTTTTAATAATTGTACGTAAAAATAACTTCTATTGTTGATGGGACAAATTAAAAATGTGTTAACGAGATGTCAATTCACATATTGTAAATCTTGATTTTTTTAGGCCTGGTTTCACAGACAGGGCTCAGACTGAGCCAGGATTAGGCCGTGGTTCAATTAGGACATTTAAGCAATTTTTATAAACTTACCTTAGGGGGGGAAAAATCATTACTGGTGTGCATCTTGAGTGAAAACAAGGGCACTGACATATTTTAAGACCAATCAGTGCAAGTTTCTTTCAGTTGAAACATTTTAGTCTGGTATTAGGCTTAAGCCTTGTCTCTGAAACCAGGGGCTAATGTTTTATAATAATTTTGTGGACCCGTAGACATTTACTGGAACCCTCTCATGTGGATGCAAACACTCTCAAATTAGTGTTTGCGTTTTTGTTTATTTCTGTTTTTGAAACTCTGCTTGTCTGCACTTGTCATCTTTAATTTATTTAAATAGGTGGAAAATGTAAGTATTTCATTTAGTGACAGCTGGATGAATGTGTATCTGAGATTAGAGTAAGCAATGGAAAAGTCTGTGAACGGGTGAAAGTAGTGGCAGCCAAAAACAAACAGAGAGAGAGAGAAAGAGAGAGATTGCACATGTAATATGCAAAAGAAAAGAAAGCAGTAGAAAACTCTGGATGGGATTTCACCATAATACAGATTTGAAATACAGAAATGTATAATGAACAGTACCAGTAGAAATGCAATACAAATGTATTTAATCAGGGCAAAAAAAATAATAATCATGAAAGTACATATTGTCACAAAAATTTAAAAAGGTACAAATGTAAATGCATTGTTTTCAAGCCTTTTTGGGGAAAAAATGCATTCTATTAATTCAAATTAGAATGTTAATGTGAAACTACTTCTGTGTTCGTTTGTAAATTCCTGTGTTGTGACATCTCAACATAACTGAAAGATATTGTTAGCATTAATAAGCATGAAATAAGTTAAAAGTTATACTACTTTGTAGCATATGTGAGCCTTAACAGTTGGAAACTGTCAAAACAGCTTAATAATACATTTGAAATGGTATAACATCTGGAACTATTTTAAACATTTTTACAAATTGTATTATAATTATTGTGCTTGCAATTTTCCTGACCTCATATTAAAAATGAGAAGCTATGTTTTTTTTTTTACAACAACATTTAACACTGTATGACCACTGAAACAATTTATTCAAAATTCAAAATTAAAAAAAAAATGTTCAACCTAAAAAAGAAACTATAAGCATAAGTCTTGTGCATTTGTAAATTTGCAAATGTGCATTTGAAAATCACCTAAATGCATTACTGTACCTTCAGTACACTAAATGCATTTCACAGTGTTAAACATATTCAGTTAATCTCGAAAGTAAATACATTTACTTTGGAAGTCATAATAACTGATTCCTAATAGGAAGTGCTATCTTTCTATCGACACACTTCTGTTGCAATGTGCGGTTAGTGAAACCAGAGAAGCTGGAAAAAAAATCTGTAAGCCGCTAGTGCTTGCTTATTATTAGTGTTTTACCAGTCCCTGCTGTGTTTCTGTTAGATCACAGTTGCTGCTGGTTCAGTGAAAACACAGATGAGCCTCAGGTGACTCCATTATGCTTTGATCACATAACTGTCTCTCTGCAGCTTCTCATTCCTGTGAACTTTAATCAAAACTAGATCCTACCCAAAATCTGTCCCATTTATGAACACTCTGATATCACAAAGGGCTATCAAAGAAACCAGCATTGCATGTTCACCTCTAGGATTTCCATCATAGTTTCCCTGAATTAATAGACTGTTTTTCTGGTGAAGTCATGAGGCAGTGTGAGCTGCCCCTGAATACTGAACACTGTAAGTCTTTGTTCCTGTGTCATAATGGTAGTTACAGCGTCGTAGCCTTCAGGCCTGTGAAACTTTATGGCTACCAGCCAGGGACAGACTTCTCAAGCAAAGCCTTCAGTTATGTGTGTGAATCAGAGACTGAGGAACAGTAAACATGTTTTGGAGAATCTGAGGTGTTGTTGGGATAGCATGGAAAATGCGAGTCATGGAAAGGTATCCTTTCGCAGCAGGAGGCAGGGAACTCCTGAATGCCTTGGCAAACCCTCAAAGGGTTGGAAACTAGTCCCATAATGATTTGCACATGGACCTCTCAGCTTGATTAGAGCAAACGCAAAGGTTCAAAAGTGCATCATTAGCATTATCAAAGACTTGAGTACCGTGGGTACATCTACACGCCATCCAGCTGAGACCGAACAAAAGGTAGCACCTTTTGCAGTGACTTTGGGAATAGTCAAACAACTTCAGAAAAATTTAAAAATTGGCAGACTAATTCAGTAAAAACCAACAGAAAGTGTAAGATGTTAATCTGTCAGTTTGTCACTACATGGTGACCTGGTGACCTCGTCTCCTCTGTCTTTTGTCTTGGACAGCTGGTTTTCTTAGCAGTTTGCTGTCCTCGGCCATTCAAATTTGAATAAAAAAAGTTTCAAGCTTTTCAAGCTTAAGGTGGTCAAGTTAGTTTGTTGCTAGTTAGACCATGGATCCTCTTAAGTTTAGCCAAGGTGGTCCACCAGCGGTAACCGGGCTGACTAAGATCTTAAAGGGGTCCTATTATGCTTTTTCACTTTTTCAACTTTAGTTAGTCTGTAATGTTGCTGTTTGAGCATAAAAAAGATCTCCAAAGTTACAAAGTTTACAAAGTCCACTTCAAAAGGAGATATTTTATTTAACAGAAATCACTTTTCCAAAAGCTACAGCGAACGACTCGTTTGGACAACGCATATTTTCCGGGATTTGTGATATCACAAATATCGACGAATGGGACGAGACCTGGTTGAGCTGCACTAGAGAAGTCAACGATTGTTATCACTATGTCGGAGACGCACTAGCTTTCCCAAGGTAGACAAACTTAGAGTGGTTACAATTATCTGGGTTTAAATCGCGCTCAAATTGATTTGATTTTGACGCAATATTTACACTGAAGCTCGCAGGTGGCTATGGTAAGGGGCATGACATTTCCCGACCAGGCACCGAGTGCTGCCAATCACAACACACACTGGCCCAGCTAACCAATCACAACACACCCTGGCCCAGCTAACCAATCACAGCACATTTCATATTACAGAAGGCGTCCCTTCATTTGATACAGGAATTATTCGAGCCGTTCATGCCAGACTGGGGAGAGAGGTGCTATAATAATGTAAAATATGTGAAAAATGTGTTTTTCGAACAATCTAGTATGAGAACCTGTTCTAGTACACCCCCAAAACAAAATCAAGACTTTTTAAAAGAGCATAATAGGACCCCTTTAAAGTCATAGTTCACCCTAAAATGAAAATTCTGTCATCATTTACTCAGCTTCAGGTTGTTCCAAACAGTTGGCAGCTGCTATACTACTATGCCAATATACAAGGTATATTGGTTCAAAATACCTTATTTTGTTTTCAACAGAAGAAAGAAACTAATACAGGTTTGGAACAAGGTTCCAAGGGTGACTAAGGGTGCTTTCACACCTGTAGATCGATTGCTTTGTTCCGAAATCATTGGTCAAAGTTCAATGGTTTATTTTCCAGGATTCCACTTAGCTGTCACAGCTGTCATCTGTCAGGATGAAACGACAACAGCTTCGCAGGCTTATTGTTGTTTTTTTTGTTGTTGTTTTTTTATGTCGTTATATTAATTTATCACTTTGAGCAGGAGTCCAGGATTCATCAGGAAAACATTTTTAAAATGCACATACTAGGAAGAAGAGCAATAAGACGGCATTATAAAATGAAAAAGTGCGCTTTGATTTTGAATGGCGAAGACGTGCTCACCCACAGACATTCACAGGTTCATTTTGAAGTATTAGCAAAACAACAAAGCTAATGCTTTTCACGGAACTTACGTAATTACCCATTATACATTGTGATATAGCCTGGTTCGTTGGTCCGTTAGATCGGATTGCTTTCTCACTACAACCAAACCGCTCCAGAGTTCGTTTTCAATCGAGCCAACCGATTATTTTGACACGGATCCGAGCGCGATTGCCATGTTCACATATGCCCAAATGGACCGAGCTAAGGGGTGAAACGTGCCAGGTTCCGAAACAACAGCCAGGAGTGAAAGCACAAATGATGACAGAATTTTCATTTTTGGCTGAACTATCCCTTTAACAGGTTAACTTCAGCCCCACTGCATAGTAGTCCAGCTGATAAACATACTAAAGAAAACACACAGCTTAAACCAGCCTAAAGAGGCGTCACACTAGACTTTTCGTTCCATTTACTTTTTTATTTATTAATTTTTTTTTTGCATTTTGCAGTTTTCCAAAGTTTAAGTTTAGTGAACTGTGTGTGAACTATGAATTTGTATTACATTAAGTTGTGTGACCAATAAAAGATTGCTATGCCATGGTGTGACCTCTAACCTGAATTAAAAGAGCATAAACCTTAAAGCTAAAAACTTTGCAGTGTTGCAGAAAAGTGGAGTACATTGCATATTTTTACATTCTTTGATTATTTGTTATGTGTTAAATATTGAATTTATAATAAAAGATGCCACAGAGTGTCATGCCATATCACATCCTTTGAGGGGTCCCAAAAAATTTGTGTGCTCAAATTCTACCGTGACAATCTGGACCAGCTAATGAATGTAAATGACTTGCTTAATCATTAAAAATGTCAGCAATGTAATACTCCTGTAAAACCATCAGAAGCTAGTTTTAGATGGATTTTCCAGCAGTAAGTGGTTGTACAACTATACAATGTTATATGCTTACATTACTTTATATAATGCAATTTTGACTGTCTAATATGCTTGTACATACTGATTGTTTGTCTCTCTTATTCTCCACAGCCTGCATCTTTCGCTACAACGCTCTCTCTTTAGTCTACCTTCTTTACTTGCTGCTATTACCATGGTTTCAATGGCCCAATAAGCACACACTACGAGGTAAGACAGTTTCTCACGCTTTGATTCCTAATTTCACAATACTCTGCCTGACCAGAAAACTAGCTGATTGCAAAACAAAAACGATTGCTAAATGAACAATTGTTTGTGAAACAGCCTCAGAGGTTGCTGTTTCATAGTTCAAGAATTCTGAGTGGAAAGAATAGCTCAGATAATTTCCTCTTGAAATAATTTGAGAAATGTTTTAAGATCATTTTAAGATCTTTGAACAGACTTTGGTATCTTGGTCAATCTGAGCATGTTTTGAGACATTGTCAAGATCTCTTCTGAAACATTAGAAAACGACATGTGCGGGTCTGTTTCCCTTGAAACATCTTAAAAGCCAGAGACTTAAAAATAGTTAAAATTTTCTCTTTAGTTTGCTTTGATTCAGTCGATGTTGCTTAATCATAAAAGCCCAGAGTGACCATAATTAAAATTTACTGCTGTATGGAGCAGCACTTGTGCTTTTGACAAATTAAATCGAAAACAAAGATACAAAATAAAATAAAAATAACTTGAAAATTACAGCCATAATTATTATTTTTATGATAAGAATAAGAATAAAAACAATAATAATAATGAATAAATTGAATATTATTTTTTTATATTTTGCATAAGATAAATATAGGAAGATACAATATATTTCTTATTACGTTTTGTTTTTTAAATATAAAATATATTTAATATTTATATTTGTACATTTATTTATATATATATATATATATATATATCTTCAGTCTGTGTGCACTGAATTTATTGAAAATAAATTACTGAAATAAATGAACTTTTCCATGACATTCTAATTTATTGAGATGCACCTGTATATATTCTTACTTTCTGTAATGATACAATAAACAATATTATCATTCTAAAACTATCCCTCCCTGTCTGGGACTCGAGACTAGCAGCCATTTTGCCAAACCACAGCTTGACTGACCTTGATAATAGAGGAATCCATTATAAACCACGACACACTCATTCCTGTAGTACCACAGAGAGAGAGCTTGGAGTATCACAAGACCACAGAGATCCACAAAGCCTAAATGATGATACAATAAACAAAAGGTTCTTTGGCTTTCAAAAGTGGTTTTGCATCATTTTTGGTGTTTTTCATTCAAGCACCTTACTATGTATTGTGTATGGCTCAGGGATTGGATCCAGCTTTGTGGCTTTGGCAGGCGCATCAGTGGCAGGAAGGCAGCCCATTTATCTTAGGGCTTTAGTCCAGAGCTCATAGCAGGTGATCATCATAGCCACATCCTGTTTAAGAGGCAGGACTGCTAGAAACAAAGGTGTTGGCAGTATGTGTTTGAGAACTGGGCTTAATAAGGTGCTGAAAAGTGGATGATGGTTTGATGCTCTGTATAAAAGAACTACTAACTGTGAGCACATCCACACTCATAACAGAAGTATGTGGCCATGAGGAGTGGCATAATAGCAGTACTCAGACTAATTGTGCCTCTTCACCACTGTCAGGAATCCAGTTTTGTGCCTTTTCTAGCACCAGGTACACCAGGGTTCTTATCATTAAAAGTAAAACGTATAAACGTAAAAACGTAAAAAATATACTTGAAATGAAAATGTATTTACTCAATCTCTGAGTCTTTGTTTATTTATTTATTTTACAGAATGTGAAATTTTCGAAACATTGACAGATAATTCAAAATGCTTTCCTTTATTCAGAGATAATATATTACCTTATTTATTACTTATATTAGCGCTTCATCATTAACATATCATACAAATATATATATATATATATAGGCTATATTACATATTGTAATATTATATAATGTTGTGCGCTATCTGTCAAGCCCACTGAAGGCTCGTCAGTAGATCACACGTGCGCTGAAGTGAACTAACCCTGGAACATGTTATCTTCAGAAAACAAGTTACTATGATTACTTACTTACCCTGAAAGTAACCTCCGATTTTGGAACCGAAAGCTGAGATTATCCGCTCGATTATCCTCAAACATACTTGTATGTATGTCACACAACCTGCTTTTTGGAGTACCTCCCTGGTGTCACATTACACATAATCACATTAAACATGGGCATTTACTCGTTTAGCAGATGATTTTTTTCTCTGATTTGTATATAATTATTAATTAATTATTTGCTCTTTCAGGGCTCCAGACAAAAAAAAATCACTTAAGGGGGGCCATTGGCTCCTATAAGAAACAAAATTAGGCGGCAAATTATTTTTTTAAGTGCCACAGAATAATTTTTGTTTTTTAACACTTAACATTTCAGTCAAACTGTCATGTGTTTATGTATCCCCTCCTTTTACAGCATCAGCATTTTAATCCATCTTGTAGATGTCCTGGGAACTAAGCTTCACTTAACCCTTGTGCGGTCTTCAGTCATTTCTGACTGGAGAATTTTACATTTAGAATTTTTTTAAATCGTAGCTTCACCAGAATGGTATGAAACTTGGTGTCTTTTATGGCACTTGGTATGTGAACACAAAAAAAAATTGAGGGCATGATTCAAAAAGCTAAGGGGTCATAAAAAAAATGGTCACACTCATGATCTTCGGTCAAAAATGACCGACCATAGGAAATGAATGGGGAAAAAAAATCGAAAATACAGAATTTTTATGTGTACAATCTACAAATCCCCCACAATGCAGAAAAATTGCACAGCAATGAAGGGGTGAAACTCTAAAACATCTAGAGTGCAAAATCAACAATCAAAATCATCAATTTGAATGGCCTAGTCTCTATTTTAATCTGAAATACTGCAGTAATTGAAAAATAATTTAAAAAAAATTAGATAAAAATTGTTGTACTATTTTCAATGGGAAAAATGTATCATAATTATTGCATAAATATTCATTAGTACCATGAAATTCTCTCAAAATACAAAAGTAAAAAAGAAAAAATATGATTGAACAAAAATATATTAGATTGATTTTACTGAAGAAAAAAAAAGTTACATTTCAGGTGTCCGGTCACTTTTGACCGCGAAGACCATGAGTGTGTCTCCCAAATTTAAAGTGGGAACTAAACGTCTTTTCCAACTTCAGAACAATATACAATCACAAATAATTGTTTAATTGTTTAAATCTGTGCCAATATTATGGACCATAATTATGTCAGCATCATTTGGCCCTTGAGAGTAGTTTGGGCTCCTGGGCTCCTCGTCCTATAAATGTTGTCATATGTCTTGCACACATCCAGTCTGTTTTTCTTCATTGGTAACATGCAATTATTCTCCTTGCATTCTTTCTTATCATGTGGACAACAGGTTAAGTAAAAATATGAATATGCAATATTATGCATATATTTTGTAGAACACGAAATGCATGTTCAAGTTCAAGTTGTGCACAAAGTTTTTCTGCACTTTTATTTTGCACGTCTCTTTCAATCTCTCTCATGCTGCCCCAACTGGAACTGCTTTTAGCAGGCATTTGGCAGAGATGAGGACTGTTTTTCCACTAAAACTTTAATGTGAATCATCTCAGTTTATTATGTCAACGTAACAAATGATGTGATCGCAAAACAATCAGGAAAAAAGGCATTAAATGCAAACTTAAGTCATAACAGGGTCATTCCTGGGATTCTGTAATATTTCAGTCCCCCTGACTTTTAAAAGTGATGGTTTAAAATGAAGTGTTAAAAGCTTTTTACAATACTTTAGTATGCCAATTATAATGAATAAATAGAATTATTGCATTTAAATAATTTTTTTGCATAAAATAATGTCTTATTTCTATCTTACACCAAGCATTTTGTCATGTCCCTGAGGTACTTCACTGAGTTTGTACTTAGAAAATTATTAACAAAATTTGCAGTGTCAAAATTAGGCGGCAAATTATTTTTTTAAGTGCCACAGAATAATTTTTGTTTTTTAACACTTAACATTTCAGTCAAACTGTCATGTGTTTATGTATCCCCTCCTTTTACAGCATCAGCATTTTAATCCATCTTGTAGATGTCCTGGGAACTAAGCTTCACTTAACCCTTGTGCGGTCTTCAGTCATTTCTGACTGGAGAATTTTACATTTAGAATTTTTTTAAATCGTAGCTTCACCAGAATGGTATGAAACTTGGTGTCTTTTATGGCACTTGGTATGTGAACACAAAAAAAAATTGAGGGCATGATTCAAAAAGCTAAGGGGTCATAAAAAAAATGGTCACACTCATGATCTTCGGTCAAAAATGACCGACCATAGGAAATGAATGGGGAAAAAAAATCGAAAATACAGAATTTTTATGTGTACAATCTACAAATCCCCCACAATGCAGAAAAATTGCACAGCAATGAAGGGGTGAAACTCTAAAACATCTAGAGTGCAAAATCAACAATCAAAATCATCAATTTGAATGGCCTAGTCTCTATTTTAATCTGAAATACTGCAGTAATTGAAAAATAATTTAAAAAAAATTAGATAAAAATTGTTGTACTATTTTCAATGGGAAAAATGTATCATAATTATTGCATAAATATTCATTAGTACCATGAAATTCTCTCAAAATACAAAAGTAAAAAAGAAAAAATATGATTGAACAAAAATATATTAGATTGATTTTACTGAAGAAAAAAAAAGTTACATTTCAGGTGTCCGGTCACTTTTGACCGCGAAGACCATGAGTGTGTCTCCCAAATTTAAAGTGGGAACTAAACGTCTTTTCCAACTTCAGAACAATATACAATCACAAATAATTGTTTATTACACAGAATCTGTGCCAATATTATGGACCATAATTATGTCAGCATCATTTGGCCCTTGAGAGTAGTTTGGGCTCCTCCTCAATGTGTCCTATAAATGTTGTCATATGTCTTGCACACATCCAGTCTGTTTTTCTTCATTGGTAACATGCAATTATTCTCCTTGCATTCTTTCTTATCATGTGGACAACAGGTTAAGTAAAAATATGAATATGCAATATTATGCATATATTTTGTAGAACACGAAATGCATGTTCAAGTTCAAGTTGTGCACAAAGTTTTTCTGCACTTTTATTTTGCACGTCTCTTTCAATCTCTCTCATG